GAAACGGGTACAGCATTGTTACATGATTTATATATTGCCAACCCAACTGTTAGATTATATTCCTAACAGTTCTTAGCAAAGTTTCATAAATTAGGAATATCTTCTCTTAGTTTTCCAATTTCTTAGACTATAGAACATTGCAAATATGATCTGGAAGTGAAGTATAAAAGCTCAATTTTTATACTGGCAGCGCAGGATATTAAAGTTAATTTGTGATTCAGGGCATGACGAACTGTGATCCTATCTCTCCTACTCTGGTTTCGCTCCTGTGCCATTGATTTTCCATCTGGGTCCAAAATTTGAATATTGGTGATCAGTTCTCTGCATCATTTCATTGTAACAATTGCGTTGAAGTCCTGGGATGATGTTAAAGTAAATATATTCACTTGATCTGAGAAGTAAAAAGATCTTTTTTACAATTTTGCTTTACAGAATAGAGCACTTAGAGGCAAAAGATCTTGAGAAATTTCCAGAAGTAGTATTTGGCTTCATGTCTCCAGCCATGATTGTAATTAGCACACCAAACTCAGAATTCAATTATTTACTTCAAACTGTGTCATTATTTAGACATCCAGATCATAAGTTTGAATGGAATCGAACACAATTTCAGAACTGGTAAGTTCCTTCAATCTTGTAGATGTTTTGTGGTGTAAGAATGAAGACCAAATATGGATATTTTATTGTAAAACTAAAATGCAATAAAACAAACCATTGCTTTTAATAGACATTATAATTCTGAATATTTTCTTCCTTACTCTTATGGTATTTTAAAAATGTATATGCTATCTTTAAGTAGGTTTTCCCAGGCTTGCACTACTTTAGATATGAAAATGGACGTTAAAATAATACTACTAAAAATACAAACCATGAAAGTCTAACAGCAACCAAAATCATTAAACGGTGTTTTGCAATACTTTAATTTTAAATATTGACCTATTATAGTAAAAGGCTTAGGAGAAAGTCATTACCTAGTGCTAGAGAGAGAAATAGTAGATACCTATAGTTGTTTCACTACAGTTGGGAAGTGGTGCCTTCCCTAAAGATGACAGTGTATGAGTAGGCATATGTGGGAATAAAAATCTTCAAATAATTTAGTCCCACAAGATAATGGAGTTTGTATGTTAACACCAGCACTTTGCATTGGAACTAGAAATGGAGCAGGAAATAATGAAAATCAGACCAATCTCATATTTTACTGTCACCAGTTTTGAAATGATGACAGTGAAAAAGAAATCACAGGGGTGATAGTGTTTTATATTTAGGGTTATCATATCTAGTTGATTTAACAATAACCCCAAATGATTGGAAAGTAAGTGGAAAATAAAGAACAGGTCAATCACATCTATTTGTGGGAACCCAGATTTTAAAAGACATGTACTAAAGTGAAATTTATCATCTTAACCTTTCACATACAAAATACATTATCCTGAAAAGGGTTTTTTTTCTAGTGATATTCAGAAATGCTGTCTTGATGGGTCTCGAATTACTCTTGCTTCATCACAGCTCCTAGATTTAACATACCAAAATTCTCTCTTATCCGTGAAAGCCTTTTACTGAGTGGTTTGAGTCATTTCCTGCATGTTTAATAGGATGAAGAAGAGACGACCGTTTTCTGGAAGTTGCTGCCTTTCTCTTTTTGAGGTTACGGAATTAAGAGTTGTTAGCGTCAGCCCTTTTTGCTTCCAAATATGTTGTAAAAAACAAAGCCCAAAAGAGGCACTGCAAAACCAGAGAGACATTTTTTTTTTTTAAATTACCAGCTTTGCATCCGTGGTGAAATGGGTGGCTTTATTTCCAGTAGTCCCTGTTGTCCTCATTACTGCCCTATCAGGTACATTCCGGCTCAAGGTTGACTCAGCCTTCCATCCTTCCGAGGTGGGTAAAATGAGAACCCGGATTGTTGTTGGGGGCAATATGCTGACTCTGTAAACCGCTTAGAGAGGGCTGAAAGCCCTATGAAGCGGTATATAAGTCTCACTGCTATTGCTATTGCTATTCCCATGGCACTGAAAACAGAAAAGGAGAAATAGAGTGCCCTTCCCACCAGAAAGCCTTAATCTTCTTTCTTTCTTGAAAGATGACCATGTATTGTTGTGACGCTCTAAGTGAATAAAATTATTTATTCTATTGGGCTTTTTGCTCTCTTGTTGCAGTTGAAATATTTCCATACTGTAAGCATGTAAGAGTAAACACGGAAGACTGGAATGTGTGACGTGCTTGTTTGTTAGAATAAACCCCCTTCAAACTTCTTAATTGTTCTTTCCTCATAAATTTAGGGCTGTAGAAGTTGCTGCTCGTTATGATTACACAGTAGAGTTTACTGGAGTAGGAGAACCACCTCATGGGAAGGATGTTGGATTTTGTACACAAATTGGAGTGTTTGTAAGGAAAAAACTAAGAAATGTCGAACCTGACAGATTTGAAGAATATCAGAGAAGAGTTTATACAACGGTAGTAGTTCTTTTTCTTCTGTAAGATCAGACAATTTTCATTTGAAGGAATTATTTTGGAAAGATATAATATACTGGGCTTCTGCCTCTTTATTATCAAACATACTTTAGGTCAGGGGGGCTGTAAATGTTAAAATATCTACTGAAAAAGAAGTTCAATTGATTTCAGGTTGTCTTCAAAATAAATATGTCAAGCAAGGAAGCAAGAATATGGAAAGTCTTTCAGATACGTCAACTGGAGTTTAAGAACTGCCGGTATTGTTAGATGATTTAAACCAGTGTTTCTCAACCTTGGCAACTTGAAGATGTCTGGACTTCAACTCCCAGAATTCCCCAGCCAGCGAATGCTGGCTGGGGAATTCTGGGAGTTGAAGTCCAGACATCTTCAAGTTGCCAAGGTTGAGAAACACTGATTTAAACCAAAACACGTGGATGTAATGAGATTACAACCAATACAGATAGTCCTCAAATTATGACCAAAATTGAGACTGGAAAATTAATTAGTAGAGTCATTAAGTGAGGCCTTGCATGATGTACCAGATTTTGCAACCATTTCTTGCCAAGGCCATTAAGCAAATCACCATGGTTGTTCAATAAATTATGCGGTGGTTAAGAGAACGTAGCTTCCCCCATTGATTTTGCATGTCTGAAGCCGGCTCAGAAAGTCAAAAATCACAATCACATGACTGCAGGACATTGCAAATTGTAGGTGGAATATGTAAAAAATGAGAAGAAATCTACTCAATGAAACAATTATGTCTTGCATATTTATTCTTCTACATATATACATGCTTAGAAATAAGTTTCATGTTTAAGGAGATTTACAGCATTACAGTGGACTGTAATAACTTGTAATTTGTGCAAAATTTCAGGTAAGATATATGCTTTATGCTAGATTTTTTTTTAAACTTGTTCTGAGCATATTTGTCTGGGCCCTATGCTTCTTATTCAAGTTTCTCGTGTTCAAATTTTACAATTTTTTCAGGCTCCTGTTATTTATCATGATTTTGCATTGTGCAATGGATTGCATTTGATGCTTCCGCATCAGTTTCAGAGACCATTCTATGAAAGAGAGGTGCAATTAGCTGTTGATGCACACATAGGGAATACTGTATTACTGGAAAGTGCCCTAGCAAAACCAGAGAATGGTAACTGGAACTAAAACACATGCAGCAAATTACTGGAATCAACATAATCCTACTGAATTGCATTGATTATTTCTGTTCAAAGACCGTAATTTCTTCTAGCATAGATCAGTTTGATCTGAATGCCCTTATGTGAGGTTTTAATACAGAACTCCATGTTGTGAGCCTCCCAAACAGCATCAAAGACCTCCTGTCAGATCAGGTAGTTTCCCATTTGTCATCACAAGTAATTTTGTCACTAAGTCAGGAATTCCAATCTATATGTCATTTTTTAAGAGAATAGTTCAGTCACCACATGGCAATTGGAATAAGGATTGGCTACATAAATCTCACCTGCAGGCAGTTGTTAGCAATTATGTTGACCTGGCCCTTTGCCTAGTGAGCAAGCATTGAGTAGCATTGAGGTGTAAATGTTGTAAGGATTGTAGCCATCATCTAACTGCTCCAACTCATCAAGAGATGCCTGTGGTTGATCAACCTCAGATGAATCATGGCTTGATGATTTCTGAGGCTGACAATCCACAGGCTCACATGGAACAATGTTGTCAAGAGTGAAGTTCTGAATCTAAATTGTGGCCCATGACAAGTAGACACTAAAAAGAAAGTATCTGCGCACTGTTTTTCCATCTGTTGAAGAACCCTCAGGAAGGAGCTGTACCTATTGTGCACTTAGAAGTGGGAAGGGCATCTATACAGAAAACTATAAAGAATTAGTTGTTTACAGCTTGATTGTGATGCATTGTAAACTAGCCATAAAGTTTAAAGTTGAGTATAGTTTATAGTGCTAAAAAGCTAAACATGTAAAGGCTTTAAACAGTTGATGTGTTATATAAATGTCTTGAATTTTGATTTTTCTTGAAAAAGGTTTTCAAAATCATTTATCCAAGCCTTAAAGATGAAAAGTATCTGCAGAATGCAGTGGTCAATGAGGTTTTTCGAGCAGCAGAAATAATTGCAAGGAAACAACTGGACTATACAAAATCTGAATGTAGAAAGCCCCGTGACACTCTTATTGGAACAGAATCCCAATTTCAGCGATCTAGTTTCCAGATGTATTTGGACGATTTCCCTTTCTCTGAAGCCGATAGTAAAATTATGCAGCCAATGGCTAGGGGAGACGTTATCTATGTACCTCTTGCAAAAATATTTTCTCTCTCCAAAGTGAATCAACTTTGTGGTACCTTTGAAAAACTCAGTAAGCTCATAACTGGCAAGATGACACTAAGCCACGATGGTTCTGCAGTGATGATTAAGATGGAATATGAAGATGAACCACAGGACGGTGATCAGAATTAAAAAAGAATTCTTCCTGTCGTGAACAGAATAGTCTAGTTAATTGAAATACTAGTAATTGCTGGTTTAAAATTGGGCTTAAATGCTATAATCAGATGTGACATTTTCACATTAAATTGGATTATAGATTATTGAGTAACTTCTTAGTGTCCAAGAGTGGCACTTAAGTTTTGTTTTTCACCCGCGGAAGGTGGCATGTTTCTAAGAGGCCGTTGCCCACAAAGTGGATGAGGTAATGTTATATTAGTTAGCACTTAAGCGGGAAGGAGGGGGAAATCTTCCTTTAAAAGTGTAACAAAAAAACATTCAAACCCAAGTAAGCAATACAACTTTTCAAATAATTGGAAGCAGAGTGAGTGTGACATTTATTCAGCCATGTCACTACATAACTCTGAATAGGAATGCATGTGAAAAAATGTCAGTCTAATCACAAAGCAAAAAAAAAAAAAGTTATTGAAACAAAAGTTTAAAAATGATTTTCCTAATTTTAATACTAGAAAAAGTAAAGTTTAAGGAGTTTTGTAGTGAAAATATAGAGATCGCTGTACAAAAGCTCATTATATTAAGTACTTAATAAACCCCTGTAATCATGTATTATGCTTTTGAACTTTTTCTCCAAATGTCTTAAATGTTTCTGTGCTTCAAAATAATAACTTGCTAATTACATATTGTGTGTTTCTGAAAATGACAAGCATGCATAGTGATTGATTTGCAGCGGGGAATAACAATACAGATGGTTTGAGGGGATAACTATACAGATACTTTCAATCTTGCTTTCAAATACTATCATTGCAGGAATGACAGAGATCCTGTCACAATTCTTTTTTGTGATGGACGTTCTAAAGCTAAAACATTAGTGATAAGGTGCAATCCTCACTTTGATATCATTAAACTGGTTTATATCAAACATTTTCCCTCAATTACAATAAAATATCTTCATCCCCATCTCTTCATATTTAGAAATATAAAGGCTGCTCTCTGTACATCCTGTCGATCTTTCTATAATTGGTTTTGAAATATTGCTGAGATTCCCAGCAGTGGTTTAACACATTTTATGCAATGTTTGTTATTTTTCCAATGTGGCAGTGAACAGTTCTATAACCTTCATCCACAAGTACCACTGGCATGCTTTTCTAAATACTGCTACTGTTTCTCACCTTTCACAACTTTAAGTTGTTTCGAATTTGACTCCCAGAATTCCCCATGCTGGCTGCAGAATTCTGGCACTTGAAGTCCACATATATTAAAATTGCTAAGGGTGTGACACTATATTAGATAATAATGCTAATTTTATCTTTCTCCCTCCCCCATATCTCTGAGAAGAGTGGAGACTTTAGCATGGTTTCAAGGGAAACTTCCTATAAGTTTATTTAGTGAGTATTTTTACAGGTAAAATACATAGGATTTTATTTATCGTATTTGTATAGTTGGTCATCTCACACAAAGTCATTCTGGGCAGTATACCATATTTTGAAATATAGAATAAAAATGCTCAAATTAAATAAAAATAGCATGCAAAAATGTGACTCATAATTAGCTGTGTCAAGAATCTCTGATGGCATATGACATATAAATGTGGCAAACATTAAATCTAGTAGAAAGCCAGATTCAGTAAACGTGAAGTTCTTTTCTGTATAAAATGAACATACTATACAGTTTCTGGAATCGGTACCATCAAATCCTTAATTCTGTGCTGCATAGCACCCAGAATCAACCAGGAAAGTAAAGGTGGCAGAGAGATCAAGGAGAACCAAGAAGACCGCATCTCCCAAACTCCTCTTATAAAGGACAATTAGTGGTTCCTCACTCCAATGACCAGAAGTGGAACACAGAAGTGGACAATCCTTTTAAACATTAAAAAGCTTGGGGTGGTTTTCCCCAAGTGTGTGTAGTACTACTGTTAAAGTATCCAGCATCAAATATTTACTGCATTTACAATATTGCGTTCCATATAGTCAAGTAAAAGAAGCCATGATAAATACCTCCAAAATCCCTTACAAGTGAGTTGTGTATCCTGCACTATAAAATATGTTTCACATAGTATTTGGCTTTGTGGTTGTGATTTAAAAAAAAAAGCTGGTTAACCCGGTTATTTGATTATATTAAGAGAAATACATTTCTTGGCATCTTTTATTGCCAAGCTCTGCTTAATTATCTTTAATTCTCCTTTACTAAAATACTTCATTGTTGAGGCTGAAATATTTCATTAGCTGAGGGTCTCAGAGGTGTCTATGGAAGCTGAAGATTTGTGATAAGTGATATTATGCAAGTTGCATCTTTTATGTGCATGTGTGGAACATTGCAATGTACCGTGATACTTTGTCATTCGCCCTCTGGCCCAAATGCATATCAACTCTGGTTTTTAATTTCAGCCAGTACATCAGAGAAACTAATATTCACGAGAAAACAGAAGGAAACGTGACCAGATAAGCCAATAAAACTTATCTTTTTTTATAGGGAAAAAATAAAATAAAACCAATCAAAAGAATAAAACTCAAAACCCATTTTATACCAATTCTTACTACATTTAGTAAATAAATGAATTATTAATATATGATATTATATTTAGCACTAGGGATTGAACAAAAGGGTTTAAGAATTCCAATAAGGGAATGAGCACCTTGAATAGAATTTATCTTCTATGGAAAATTATTGGCTCAAATAAACCAGTTATTGCGCAGGCAAGGTGGTGGTTTGTGGCCTTTTAAAAATACTGAAAAGGGTGCAAATAATTTAAAAATCCTTTCACTTTATACATGTTATTTTCAGGAAAGGTAACCTGTTTTCTTTGGAATTAATTCTTATTGTTGGGGGGGGAGAGAAGTCATACAGGAAAATATTTAAATCTCTGTGTAATGATTATTTTAAAAAAAGAACACCAATAAAAGTTGGACAAATTTTATTGAATTTGTAAGTTCACTTTACAATGAAGTATTTTATGATAAAAATGTTAATTTTAATTTAAAAAAAACATTAGCATGTCGGTATACAGTTTACGCATGTTTAATGCCACATAAATATGAAGATCATTTCCCATGTCTCAGAAGGACTGGAATCACTTCATTAAAATAATACAATTAATAAAAGTGCATGATATTTGTTCAAACTTTACACAGAATTAAGAAATACATACAATGAGCATATGGAATAAGAAGAGCTACCACCAACACGTTGAATGCCAAGAGAGAAATTCCCTCTGCACTAGTTCTAAAAGGAACAAAATTGGATATCTCAATGTAATCTGGTACTAATTATATTCACCGCAGAATATTTAGTTGAAAGTGATAATTTCTCATTATGGGTACTGTAATTTACCCTGCCGTTTATTTTAACCTGTGCATTCTCATACCAATTTGCTATTTCTCTAAATCAGTTATTTCCACAATAAATTCAAGCACTATCTTAGGTTCATTTTACTTAACCACACTAATAGAAAGTCCAAAGTAAATTAAAGTGTATTTCAAAATAAACCATGTGCATTCCTTTTCCATTATTTTAATAGCAGCTTTAAAAAACCCACTTAAAGTCAAGTTAGAACAAGTTGAAACATAATAGAACACCGTTGGGTACCATAGTAAAGAAATATTATTTTAAGAGTTCACACATGTGATTTCAGCAAAAAAAGCTATGATATTTATAAAAAAACAGTATTTCAAACATTAAAAATCCTTCATTTAACTAAAAATAACTCCTACTCTTTGCAAAAAGAATCAGTGATACCATGAAAACAGTAAAAATAAGACACTAAAATAAGATACCTATAATTAGCTTATTAAAAGTTATTTTTAAAGGTGTATCAATTTATTTTTTAAAGATATGAGGCCAGCTACTAAATTATCGATATAGTTCCAAGATTATTGGTAGATTTCATACCATTAGCCAAAAAAAGTGATGTTTCTGCTGTCAGACAATACTTTGTTGAAATTGTTGCATAGGCAAATTATATTGTTTTGTTTATACAAATGTTTATGCATCACAGTTTTGCCAGGAGATTTCTTCTGTGTACGTCTAATTGAAATAAATTCTATTTAAGAGGACATGGGGAAAAAAGCAATTTAATACTGGAGAGCACTAGGCGCAAAACATTCATCCATCTAAATGTTTGCACAGTATTTCCTTCATATATGAACCATGACCAGCAAACAATGCAACAAAACGAAGGAAATTGCTATTATGCCATTTGCTCAATTTATGCCAGGCTTAAGTCGGAACTTCAACTAAAATAATGGATTTCATGTGGACCGAAGTAACCTTTATAAAGTGCTTATCTTTATAGCGGTTTACTATTTACTATTAAAGCTTCATAAAATAGTTTGTATTTCCTTTTCCCTCAGAAACAAGGCACTCTCAAATGATATTTTCCAATCTCTCTCTCTGCAAATCATCTTGTGAGCTCAAAGTTCCCATTGAATCCTGTGATAATGATTTAGGTACAGACTAAATGTCAGTCAATAACAACCCCATACTTTTTCATAGTTTTTAAGAATACGTACAGCACCTGCGCGACTCTTGAGTATATTCAACAGTAATAAAATATGCATATCAATCCTATTTAGGGCTAGTCACTCATTTTCAAGTGATAACAAAAATACATTACTGAAATGCATGTCACGTTTTAAAACTACACGTTTATAAAAAGTACTACTTTCTCAAAACACTTCCTTGAATGAGTATTTCCCATTTCCTATTCTGATTTGCCTATAGAAAACATTTCTTCCGCTTACAACTGATTTCGGTATAGGTTCAATTATATAGAATTTTTTTCCTCTTTCCAAAAAAAATAAAACACCCCAATTTGATTTACATATGGAACAATGCAACAACTCCATCAACAAATCTGCCAACAGATTAGCAGCATGCTAAAAAGATGGGAAATTGCCCTTATAAATGGTTTCAGAAGAAAGCGTTTTCAACATAAAAGTATCTAAACAAGGCATACCAGTGTATGCCAACTTTCAGAAGATCTCATCCTTCATAATACTGAGAAACAAATTCTGGAAATCCATCAGCTTAGTCCAGTTCTTCTAGCGTTTTATAACTACTTGTTCATAAGCTCCGGATCCCGCTCTGAAAGATTAGAGGAAAAATTAGCAACAAAAGGGAAAGCTTGAACTCGTACAGGTAGTCCCCACTTAACGTACACTCACTCAGCGACCATTAAAAGTTACAGTCACAATGGAGAAGGGATAATGAAAATGGGTTTGAGGTTTGATTTAATTTGTATGCCGCCCTATGAGCCAAGGTGGCGCAGTGGTTAAATGCAGCACTGCAGGCTACTGCTAGATCAGCAGTTCAGCGGTTCAAATCTCACCGGCTCAGGGTTGACTCAGCCTTCCATCCTTCCGAGGTGGGTAAAATGAGGACCCAGATTGTTGGGGGCAATATGCTGACTCTCTGTAAACCGCTTAGAGAGGGCTGAAAGCCCTATGAAGCGGTATATAAGTCTACTGCTATTGCTATTCCCGAGAGACTCAGGGCGGGTCCTAATGGTTATAGCTGTTGTAATGTCTCTAGTCTTGCGATTGTAATTCAGGCATTCGGTGATCTCACAGTATCAATCACTATTTGCAATCTTCACTGCTGAAGACAGTGGGGAAAGCTGGCAGGTCCCAAATGGTAATCATGATTATCAGATGCTCTTGACTCTTAGGATTCGCCTAACAGTTGCAACTGCAGGAACCACACTCGTGAGTGAGTGTGATCATGTAATATTGCACTTTACAAATGTGTTGTTGCTTAGCAAAGGCGCTCTCATTGGTAAGTAGGGACTACCCGTAGAGCAATTTACGCTTTCACACATACAGTAGAAATTTAATATTGCAAGACATTTGCAGTTTTCATTTTAAAACATCAGTGCATGTATAAGTTACCAGGACAAAATGTTAGCACATTCTGTGCTCAGATGATAGAATGGAAACCTTTTCAGAAAGATTTTTCATACCAGAGAGGCACACACTGGCCAGCATGGATACAATAGCAAGGTTCGGACATTTGAAGTCACATTTTGTTGTGGACACTTTTTGTCCAGCAAATAATGGCTAATAATTTCACTTCTTCATGTGGAAGTTGACATAAAACCATATGAAAATTGAGAATATCACTACTTATATATGCCATATAGCTATTTTTTTTTTTAACAAGGTGTGCTTTAAAAAAATGAAACTTATCAAAGTTACATTAAGTGGAATCTAAACTCAAATGGCTCTTTGGAACTATTTTGATTTAACTGTAACACGAAGGCCATATTTCTAAGAACTATGACTTAGAAACAAGAAAAGGGGAAAAGCAACGAAGCCCATATAGGAGGATGACAGGAAATCTCAGGTCTGCAGGCTAGACTGGAACTTAAATTAGATTTCCATTGTGTGGGGAAAAAAACTATACAAATTATTTCTATTTCATTGCCAATTGAGTTAACTTTTTAACCATATATTTGATGAGAAAAAAAAAAAGATAAGATTGTTTTGGAAGTAGGTTTTTATGTTACATTCATGTTTCAGAAGAAGCCAAAATGTTAAAAGAATTAGGGAGTTCTGTTATCCACCTGCCAATTTGCAAGTAAGTTTAATCAATTTTTAAAATACAATATAAATCAATGCATTCAAAGAATGAAGAAGGCTTGTCTTTTATACTTGCAAGTTGGACAACTGGTGTAATTTCTTCTTCCCTTTTGTATATAATTTTCTTGTCTTCCTGTTCGTTCCATGTTCCCCTATCGTTTTCTCTATCTTCAATATTAAGAGTGTAACACAAAGACTACGTTACACTCTTTCATGCTATATAAAATTAAGGTTTTTGATGCTTTACAGTAGTGATTTAAATCAATAGCAGTAGCAATAGCAGTTAAGACTTATATACTGCTTCATAGGGCTTTCAGCCCTGTCTAAGCTGCTTACAGAGTCAGCATATCGCCCCCAACAACAATCCGTGTCCTCATTTTACCCACCTCGGAAGGATGGAAGGCTGAGTCAACCCTGAGCCGGTGAGATTTGNCAGAATTCTCCAGCCAGCTCTGCTTCTGGGAGTTGAAGTCCACAAGTCTTAAAGTTGCCAAGTTTGGGAACCACTGATCTAAACTATAGAATATTCACACATAGTTATAAAAAAACACCTCTCTGTCAACAACATCTGGCAACAAATGGGCAAAGGACTCAGGCAGAGGTGGTATCCAGCCATTCTGACAGGTTCTGGAGAACCGGTAGCGGAAATTTTGAGTAGTTTGGAGAACCGGCATGTAGGCTGACCCGCCCCCCCACTGCCTCCCAGCTGATCTTCTTTTGTTGCCCTGAACAGGAGCTGGAAAGCAGGTTAGCGGGGTGGGGAAGGAATGGGGATTTTGCGGTATCCTTCTCCTGCCACGCCCACAAAGCCACACCACGCCCACAGAACCAGTAGCAAAAAATTTTTTGAATCCCATTACTGGACTCAGGAGCTTCGGTTGGGCTCCTAAGGGAAGTGGGAAGAACAACCACCACATACATATAAGACATAAAAATATGTGTTGGAAAAATCATACCACTGCAATCTGCTATTATAAATCAGAACCAACAGTGTGTGGGGGCTTTTTAAAACAAAAATTTCAACCTAGGAAAATAATTTATCTGGATTCGAATACCACTGAACAACAACTAGCAGATCAAAGGAGATTCATTACCAGAAATAATATACTCAGGAAAGCTGAACTGGAAAAGATTAGGAAAAATTGTGAATATGAAAGACCCCATAGAAGAAACTCAAATAATAACAATTGTGACTAGAAAAGAAGTGGGCTGAGTGAACTAGAGATAACTTAGAAGAATTAAAAACAACAGAACCAGTACAGGCCAGCACTGAAGCAACCTATGGACTGCCTCTCTGACCAGAAGAATTGAGAGAAAATTATGGCAGATATAGAATTACCAGCAGAAGGACAAAGACTGCCAGCATTGAAATTAGTGCCCAACAAAGATCAGATACTTATACTGAAGGGTGTGGATAAGGTGCTTGCATTGAGTAAAATAATATCTATTGAACAGATGCTTAATAGTCAGAGAAAGAAAAGGAAGAACTTCCCTTAATTGGTCAGGCTATAGAAATAGGCAACAGGAAATTTGTACTTTCAGATTTGCAAGATTCTGTTACTGAAGCCTTACCGTAAAGTAAAATTGGCTCATCTTGTTGTGTTTCCTGTCTGGCTTATCAGGAAGGGCTGTCAAAAACCTACTGAACCATTCCAGTGAACAATGAATTAGCATGCCACCTTGTTCTCCCAGATACTTGATGGGGCACAACACATGGCTTGTACACTTTATGGCTTTATCCATAATTTTTGCAAGTCAACTCTACTTTATTTTGGTTTGTTTTTTTTCCCCACTTAGAGGGGAAAGCCGATACTAGTCCATCCGGCTTTTATAATTGGTTGAAATACCATCTGGAACAAGCTTTCTCAATGTTTCTACCATTATTTGACAGGCAAAGTTTTTTTTTTTAAAAAAATAATAATAATCTTGGAGCAAAGACACACTGTCATCTTGAAAAATACAAGTCCAAATCCAGCTCCACTGGAAAAAAAAATCGGAGCTACAGTATGTTAATAAGATTAAACATGAAATTCTGAAATGTAACATTAAGCATCTAATGCAAATATCTAATGAGTGATATTTTTTAACATTGTGAAGAAATGATGATGTTCTACNACCTTCTGACAAGCAAAATCAACGAGGAAGCCAGATTCACTTAACAACTGTGACAAGAAGGGTCGTAATATGGGGCAAAATTCATTTAATAAATGTCTCACTTAGCAACAGAAATTTTGGGCACCATTGTGGCCATAAATTGAGAACTACCTGTACTAAATTCTTAAATTTAAATTTTAAATAACAATTTAAAAACCTGAACATCCATTAAGGTTCAACTGGACTACCAGCTATGCAAAACAAAAATCTAGACTCTGGTCTAGACCGATAAGAAATCCATAGTCTATGAATCTATGAGTTTTGCAAGGTGGACCATTTGCAAAAGTTTCTTAACCTTGGAGAATTTAGGGCATGGATATTACTAAACAGCAAGTTTACCATGATAAGGGAATGGTTTTCATCTAGCAATATATAAAGTCTAAATAAATCTAGCTTCCCAGATTCACATGTCAGTAATTGCCATATTGGCCATCTTGATTTGTGCCTACCCTGAGACGTAAATGTAAACACTAAACTCAAGTAAAATTGGGTCACCAACATAAGTTAGGAATTACCTTCTCAGTTCAGAAAGAAAGGCAGCTAGATGAATTCTACATATTCACTTTCTACTACAGAATTATGAAACCAACAAAGAATAATAGTTTTACCTGATACTTTTGATTGCTGGCTTGCATAACTAGAAGTCCTAGAATGTCCACATGCTCCAAGTTCATCTGGGGCTGAGATGCTCTTGCTTGTAAAATCTGTTGGAAAAAAAAGTCAGACTGAACAGCACTCCTGCTGGATTATTTCCACAGGTAACTGAGCTATTTGTAATAAAGACTTGATTAAAATTAATCAGTAGGTTTGCTGAATTGATCCCTAGTATTATACCTTTGCATTGTACAGTATATGAGGAATTATTAGCATGCAGATAACATTAGGAAATAATGGTAGGTAACTATGTTAACTCATTTACTTCTCTAATAATGATCTGTCTTGCTGCAAGGAACTTGATTCCTGTATTAAAAAATCCTCTATTCTGTCTTCATTTAGCTCTGACCATTTAAAAATTTAAATTGAAAAATAACTGCATCACATCTGTTATCACTAGAGGACTAAAAACAACTATAGTTTGTAATCTACTAAGGACAGATAATAGTAAATCATGTTGGTCACCTATGTACCTCCACAATTCTTTTTTAAAGCCATCCCCACACTTGAATCAATGCTGGTAACTAAGAAATGGTTACACATTCCAGCATCAAAAATTGCTTGAAGTTTAAACAAGTTTGAAATGTAAGACACTACATATCAGAATGTTTCTCCATATTTAAAACAGTCTGTCAGTAAGTAATTGTAACGCAAGAAGGCGTCCTTCAAAATTAACATCCTAGTTTTTTTAAGACAGTAATTTTTCCACAAAACAGATAATCCTAAAATTCTATGCCCCTTTATGATATCATGGGCATTGAAATACCGAATGTGCATGTCACAAGGATGGGTAGCTGTATCAAACACCGTGGCATATAAACACTGGGTGATTTCCACAATGATGTTATAAAGATACGAGGTGGCGCAGTGGTTCCACAATGATGTTAAGAGCCGAGGTGGCGCAGTGGTTAAATGCAGCACTGCAGGCTACTTCAGCTGACTGCTAGTTCTGCAGTTCGGCTGTTCAAATCTCACCGGCTCAAGGTTGACTCAGCCTTCCATCCTTCCGAGGTGGGTAAAATGAGGAGCCGGATTGTTGTTGGGGGCGATATGCTGACTCTGTAAACCGCTTAGAGAGGGCTGAAAGCCCTATGAAGCGGTATATAAGTCTAACTGCTATTGCTATAGATATTGTTGCTTATTCTAGATACCTACAGACAGTACTTTTAAATAGACATATCATGCATGCTTCTTAGATATGAGTTATCATAGAGAAATATTTGAAAGAGAGCCATGGTGAAGTACAATTAATTATCTTAAGAAGCCTTATACTGTGTTAACTGAATTCATTTTCCTGTGGCTGATCGCCTTCCACAATTTCCTACCTGATACAGTCAAATGTGACCCTTTGGTGTTTTCTGCACCTTTTCTGTCTTCATGGAGGGTTTCTGATTCTCCAGCAATTGGTATAGACATTGATGTAGATGGAGGTCTGCAATCAAAGAAATTTGAGATGGAAGGTTGTCGTGTGTATACTTGTGTATGCATATCTAAGGGCAACAGGCTTTATGCTTTAGTTCATAAATAATTTTCAGCTCTCCGGACATTTAATCTCTTGCTCGGGACTTGACTTAGCAGAAAAGCCAGCTACATAATACTGCAAACATGAACGAATATTTACACAGCATCCGATTGCCTATTCTGGAGCAAAGAATGTACAGATCTTTTATATATTTGTGGTGCAGAGTTAAACTGGCTTTCCCTTCCTGTTTTTAAAATTAATGGCTATTTGGTGATGGTAACTGAGAATGGGTATCTTTGGTAGCTGAGAATTGTTTATATAATAGTTCCTTGTACTCTGAGAATTGCTGGTTGCTGCCTCATCATTTTCAGCCATTAGAAGGGGAAACTAACTACTGCAAAGAAGAAGAATAATTTATAAATAATAATTCTGAGTGATGCTAGGACCGAGGAAAAACAATTGCAAAAAATTACAAACTATTGGGACTTGAAGATCAAAGGTGAGTGCTTATGAGAAAAGAAACCCATTGTTATACCAATCATGATTTGAGCCCTGGAACAATTCCTAAAGAACTTCCTCGGTAACTGCAAGTATTGAATTTATCAGACCTGAACACCTAATTTTACAAAAACAAAAACAAACACCCCCACACACACAACCACTCTACTTGGAACTGTCTATATTCTTTTAATTCTTAATAATTCTTAGGTCCATGGTTAGGCTTTCAATTATTAAGTTTCCACCAGTCTTACACTGTGAATCTAAACCAGTGGTTCCCAAACTTGGCAACTTTAAGACTTGTGGACTTCAACTCCCAGAATTCTCCAGCCAGCTCTGCTTCTGGGAGTTGAAGTCCACAANTGTCTTGTACTCCCCTCCCTATATATTGTAAGCCGCCCTGAGTCCCCTCAGGGAAAAGGGCGGCCTATAAATAATAAAACCATAAAACCATAAACATATCTTTGTCTCACGGGTGGGATAGTCCCTCCCTGTGGCTGCTGCTTTGTTTCTTCAGTAGGTGCTATTTCAGTACCTTTTAACCATTACTACATCATTAGTGATTTTCCTCTGTGTAACCTAAGAGTCGGAATGACCACCAACAACTTATTCTCAAGTTTTCATTCTTGTTTTACAAACCTTCTGCGCTTGAATCCAAGCTGAAGTCTTGAGTCTGCAGTATTTTTTCAACAATGTCATCGGCGTCAACCCTTGTGGCATCAACCCTCTTCAGCTGTGATTCCACAGAGTCCTGTTTCACTGGTAGCCTATGAAAAATATGAAATGTCTAGAAATGCTATGCTCCAGAACAATGATCAATGACTACCATATTATTAAATCTTCCCATTTATTTACCTGTTTGAATTTTCTGGGACGGCATCCTTCATAGTTGCTTTCAGATTATTATCCTCAGTGCTTCTGGATTCAGCCTCTTCACATGGCTCTAGAATACTACTTATGCCAGTTGATGTGCTTCCCACAGAGGTATTTCTTTTATGACCGAGATCAGAGAAGCTCGATGATCTGGAATGTGCAGTACTGTATCCTAAAATATATATATTAATTCAGAGCCATTAGTCTGATGCCATGTCAAAATTTCCAGCTTCTTCTTCTAACCAGAATACGCCATTTTAACGCCAATCATAATATAGCTATTTGTTATTTATTTGATTATCAACAACTAGTAAGTACTTGTTATCTAGCAAAGGTATGGGCCCTAAAATCATTACAGGTAGTCCTTGACTTACAAAAGTTCATTTAGTGACCGTTGAAAGCAGTGGTGGGGTTCAAATAATTTAACAACCGGTTCTCTGCCCTAATGACCATCTGGGTAGGCGGGGCTCGGTAGTCATGTGACCGTGTGGGCATGGCCAACTCAACATTACTCAGGTCAATGGGCACTTCACCTTAGCTGTTACAATGGTAATAAGGGTTAACCGGAGAGGCAGTTTCTGTAAGCAGGGCAATAAAGATCAGGCTAGAAGCAACACCAGAATGTTTCCTTCCTGCCTTCCTTACAGGATTAGCTCTGTAAAGTGGGAAAAAACAAAAGGAGGTTTCTTCCAACAATCGGTTCTCTGAACCTCTTAGAAAGTTACCAACCGGTTCTCCCGGCTGAATCCCACCACTGGTTCAAAGTTACAACAACACTGAAAATAAGTGACATGACCATTTTTCACACTTACGATTGCAGCTTCCCCACAGTCACATGATCAGAAATTCAGATGCTTAGCAATTGATGCATATTTATGATGATTGCAGTATCCTGAGGTCATGTGATCATGTTTTGTAACCTTCTGACAAGCAAAATCAACGAGGAAGCCAGATTCACTTAACAACTGTGACAAGAAGGGTCGTAAT